TACACTGGTGATTTTTTTTCACTCTGCATCTTTTCTCTGTTCTTGTTCTTTATTGAGCTTAATTACAGTTATTGTTCATGGGCTGTTGAGTTTAAAAATCATTTGCTGTCTTGTATATGTACCCTGCACTTGATTCATTCACAGCTGTTCATCAGCGCCCTGCTATTCAGACTGGGAAGTGTAATTGCTTATCTTAACAGAGCAAAGGAAGCATTTTCATTTACTCAGGGTCTATAAAGGAAGAATAATAAGATAATTACAATGGCAATGCTTTAGTTCAATTTATTTCAGTTTTCTTTTATGTACCAATATTATGGTATGTTTTTGATGACCCATTTTACTGTGGTCACTAATTCCTGGAAACAACTGAAAGAATGAAGCTACCTGCACATTTTCTATAAAGATGAAGTCAAAGAGTATTGGTCATAGGGAAAGTCATTTTCACATCACTGTCTTAGTAACAATATCTGTGTGCTGGCTTTACCTTGTAGGCATAATCCAGTAAAAATCAAGCAAAATTTCTCTGTATAAATTTTTGCTGGGTACCTGGCATTTTCTTATTTTAACTCTCTATTTGGTATGAAAGCATCATCTTGAAGCAATTTCTTTTAATACACAAGATATTGCCTGGGAGAAGCAACACATTAGCCATCATTAGCATATGAAATTCACTCATGAGATGACAAAATTGCAAGTTAGTCATAAAGTAAACTTCAATCCAAAAGAAGCAATTGAACACTAGCCATTGAGGCGAGGCCCTCCATTGGAGGACCTCCAGCAAGGTTTGGAATGCCATCTTCTTCTGTCTACCATTCTGGTCACCAAACAACCCATCCCTAAATACATGGTCTGGGGATTATTGAAAAGACACATGTACATTTTGTTTTTGCAAAAATATCTGAAAAAGTTTCACAACATAGAAGATTTTCTCCAATAAGTCTTCTTCATTTGAAGGTGAAAAGTCATCAGACATAAAGTTTTTAAATGAAATGATGGCATAGTCAAAGTTCCACTTATTTACAAGTCCAAGAAAGAAAAAGAAAATCTGTAGAAGGAAGCAACTACTGAATGGGACATTTGCCCTGGAGACACGTACCAGTCCAAGGTGGCCTATACATGAGGAGTTAAAGACTTTCTTGTGACAAAAGTCAGAATCTAAAATATTGAATCAAATGGAAGCTTAGATCAAATAAATATTCTATTTAAAGCCACACAACTAGGACTCAGCAATAAAATAACTTCAGCTTCTTGGGGTTGGAGTGGACTATTTTGAAGAAGGGGAAAGAAATGAGAACACTCGCCTGGTAAATAAAAAAGCACTTCCTGAGAATTTATACTTATTTGCTGGTAAGAAGTTAGTATCCTTACCCCTTGAATGACTCATTTTTACCCAATGAGTGAAATACACTAAATCAGGGTGACCTTGAATAGCAAGACCTTGTGGAATGGGAAGGTGTAAAGGAGAACTGTCCTCAGAGAAAAATATTTTAACCAGGCTTCAACGTGATATCCTAACAAGTGAGGAAGAAATAATCATTTAATGAAAAATTGACAAGTATCAAAAAAGTGAACAAGGTTAACCTAAAGAACACACACAACCAAAGGTCCAAATATTCAATAGTCATTGGTCAAAATTCTATGCATATGCCTTACTACAAATTTTCATCAAATTAAACAAAGTGATATCTAAGGACAATTTTCTCTGAGTACAATGCAATACATTCCTAATAAACTTGAAATAAATTCTGAAGAATTGCACATTTGTAAATGAAAAAGTATAAACGATGAAAAAAAGTATAAACGATGAATTCTGATGCTAAAGAATAAATAGCTTTATAAATAAACTATTTAGCACTAAACCATAATTGTTATACTATTTATAAAACTTGTGAGATATAAAGTAAAATCTAAAAGATGGGGCCAGTGTCATGGCATTGTGGGTAAATCCACCACCTGTGACACTGGCATCATCTATAGGTGCCGGTTCATGTCCTGGCTGCTCCACTTCTAAACAATTCCCTGCTAATGGCTTGGGAAAAGCAGTGGAAGGTATCCCAGGTGTTTGGGCTCCTGTCACCACATGGGAGACCTGGACCAAGCTCCTGGCTCCTAGCTTCAGCCTGGCCCAGTCCTGGTCTTTGTGGCCCTCTGGTGAATGAACCAGCTGATGGAATATTTTCTCTCTCTCTCTGTCTCTCTCTATCTCTCTCCCCATCTCTCCCTGTAACTCTGACTTGCAAATAAATAAATAAATATTTTTATATGTTTTATTTATGATAGATGAACAAATTTCATGTATTTCACATGTACAGATTTAGGACCATAGTGGTACTTCCCTACCCTTCCTCCTGTTCATGCTACCACCCTCCCTCCTCCTTCCTTTATTTTGCAATCATAAGCTTACCCTCCACTAAGTAAAAAACTCAACAAATAGTAAGAAGAAAACATCACTCTTCCTCGAGTAGAGACTAGTACTATAAGCAATAATCAAATCTCATAATGTGAATATCAGAAATATACATTATATTTGTACTCATTAGTTACCACAGATCAGGATAAATGTGTGATGTTTGTCTTTTGGGGACTGGCTTATTTCACTAAGTACAATGGTTTCCATTTGCATCCATTTTGTTGCAAAAGACAGGATTTCATTCTTTTTACAGCTGAGTAGTATTCCATAGTGTATATATACTACATTTTCTTAATTCATTCATAGGTTGATAGACATCTGGGCTGATTCCTTATCTTAGCTATTGTGAATTAAACTATAGTAAACATGGAAGTACAGATAACTCTTCATATGCTGATTTCATTTTGTTTGAGTAAATTCTCAGGAGTGGGATGGTTGGGTTATATGGTAGATCTATTTTCAGATTTCTGAGGAATCTCCATACTCTCCACATTGGCTATATTAGTTTACAAACTAGTAATTTTTTTAAAAGAAATGTACAGGCTTATAAACATTATATTAGATAAAGAAACAGTTTGAAATTAATAAACTAAATATTCAGTTTCAGATGTTAGACAGAAAACAAAAGTAATAATTTCCTCCTGCAGAAGATCAAAATAGAGATAAATCCAAAATAATTTTCATGGGGCTGCCATTTACCCTTGTGATTAAGATGCTGTTCTGTATCTAGGTGCCTGGGTTCAATAGGCAGTCCTGGCTCTCGGTAACATTTCTTGCTAATGCAGACCCTGAGAAGCAGCCGTAATGACTCAAGTAATGACGCTGCTACCAAGTGGGAGACTTGGGCTGCTTTCCTAGCTCCTGGTGTCTGCCTCCCAGTCCCAGTCCCACATTTTGAGGACATTTGAGGAGTAGATGAGAATCCTCTCTCTGCCTGTCTGCCTGTTTCTCTCTCAAGTAAATAATTTTTAAATTAAATTACATCAGTAGGGAAGTTAAACTAAATAAATATGAATTATTTAAAAATTATTGATAAACTAGCCAATGATTAATTTTAAGTGTAGACATAAAAATATGCAGATTAAATGATACTAATAATATTATGAATACTATGAACCACTTATGCAAATAAACTTGAACATATTTGTTAAATGAACTGAGTTACACAAAAATATAAATTACAAAAAAAACTAGAAAACTTCAATACTTCCGTAAATACAAAATAATTTAATGTTTAGTTAAAGCTATCCCATATAAAGTTGGTTTATTCTTGTGTATGGTAAGAGATGTCAGTTCTAAAACTTGTAAAATTACTAGAAGAAAACATGGGAAAACATGTTAAGACACATTGTAAATAGTCTTTTTAGTTTAATTCCCAGAACCACAGGCAACAAAAGCACAGATAAATGAGATTACATCAGGCTAAGGAGCTTCTGTGTAGCAGAGTAAACAATCAACAAACTGAAGAGATAACCTACAGCATAGGATAAAATATTTATAAGCTATTCTTCTGACAAGGCATTCATATTTAGAATACAGAAGGAACTGAACAACTCAGCAACATAAAAGCAAATAATCTGATTTAAAAATAGGCAAATTATCTTAGACATTGCTCAAAAGAAGATATACAAATGGCTAACTAAGGAATGTCAAAATGTTTGATGTAACTAATTATAGTGGCTATTTTTTTTTTAAATGAACATCTTCTGGCAAAGATATGTAGAAAGGGGCCGGCTCACTAGGCTAATCCTCCGCCTTATGGCGCTGGCACACCGGGTTCTAGTCCTGGTCGGGGCACTGGATTCTGTCCCGGTTGCCCCTCTTCCAGGCCAGCTCTCTGCTGTGGCCAGGGAGTGCAGTGGAGGATGGCCCAAGTGCTTAGGCCCTGCACCCCATGGGAGACCAGGAGAAGTACCTGGCTCCTGCCATCGGATCAGTGCGGTGTGCAGGCCGCAGCGCTCCGACCGCGGCGGCCATTGGAGGGTGAACCAATGGCAAAAGGAAGACCTTTCTCTCTCTCTCTCTCACTGTCCACTCTGCCTGTCAAAAAATAAAAAAATAAAAAAATTTAAAAAAAGATATGTAGAAAGGACACTCTCATACACTGTTGGGAGGAATTAGTAGCCAAGTATGGCAGTTCCTCCAAAACTTTTTTGGATATATATCGAAAGGAAATGAAATCAGCACACCAGAACTATTCTTGCTCTCCAGTTTTATCAAACACAATTTACAATAAACCAGATATGGAAAGATAAATACTGCATGTTCTTCCTCATATATAGAAGCTAAAAACAACAACAAAACTTTCAATGTCAATACAGAATGATGGCTAGCACGGCCTGGGAGGGATAGAGGGAGTTCAAGTAATGGGTACCAAATCAGAATTTGATGTAAAGAATAAACTCCCGTTGTTACAGTGGAGGATACTATGCCCATATCACCATTAGAAAATAATAAGTACCTTGGCAGATTGAAAACCAGAGTTCATGATCATAGTTATCATGCCAGATCAGCTAATTCAACACTTCATGGCATGTAGGGAGGCAGTGGGAAGGGAAAGAATTTGGAAGGTATAGTCATATTACAGATCGACTAAATATCAGTTGAAAATATAGATGACTGATATGGTGGATAATATTACAGTAGTGTTCATGGAATTTGGAGGCTACCTTCAGTTCAGATATTATTTACTATAATTATATATTATCATTTAAATATTATTTATTCATTCAATAAGTATTTATTGTACACTAATATGGATACCGAAGAAAGAGCACAAAATGACATTCTTCACACTTAAGAAATTCAGGAGGAAATATGTGAGTAGTTAGGAAATTATAATATGGCGTAAGATGAAAAGACACTGGATTCACATTGAGAAACTGCTCAGCCTGTCATGGAAATCAGAGAGGTTACACATAAGCTGACAGCTCAAAGAAGATAAAAAATCGATCAGTTAACGAATATAAAGAAGAAATATGAAGAGTGGCATGTTCTAGGCATAGGAAGGAGTATACATGACAAGCCAGATGAAATATTTGGAAAATTTTTAGAAATCTAGAGTGACTATTTATTCAGGAGGGGAAAATGCAAAACTCAGACCATAGGAAAAGAAGGGTTTGTCATCTGTCTCAACAAGATTAATTCTGAAGATGGTGGGGGATCCTCTGAAGAGTTTTAGGTAGGGTAATGACATATTCTAAGTTTGCATGCAAGAAAGATCCCTCTGTATTATGGATGATTTGAGTCTGTGCTAGACTAGAGGCATAGTGAATTGAAGAAATCTAGATAAGAGACAGTGTTTGTTTAAATTTATTTGACAGGTAGAGTTATAGACGGTGAGGGAGAGAGACAGAGAGAAAGGTCTTCCTTCTGTTGGTTCACTCCCCAAATGGCAGCTACAGCCGGCACTGCGGCGATCTGAAGCCAGGAGCTAGGTGCCTCTTCCGGTCTCCCATGCGGGTGCAGGGGCCCAAGCACTTGGGCCATCCTCCACTGCCCTCCTGGGCCACAGCAGAGAGCTGGACTGGAAGAGAAGCAACCAGGACTAGAACCGGGCACCCATATGGGATGCTGGCGCCACAGGCAGAGGATTAACCAAGTGAGCCACGGCGCCGGCCTTGAGATGGTATTTTAAGGACAAGAAAAATGGAAGGATTCAAGACATATTTTGGAAGGAAAGAACCACCAGAATTTAAAAATAATTGAATATGCAGAGTAAAAGAAGAACTCATAGAAGACTCTGACATTGTAGGTTTTAGGAAATTGTGTAGAGCATGGAAATTTGGTAGAGCTGAGGAATCAAGAGAGTGAGCAAAATTGAGAAAAGATGACATGATGGTTTTAACCAAATGAATTTGAGATATCTGAAGACTCTTAAGCCAGTCCAAGGGCAGATAATGTATTCACCTGGTGTAAATATTTAGGAGCTATCAGAATCCATATAACTTAAGATAAGACATAGGATATAGTGCTTACCTAGGAAACTTGTAAAGTTTGAGAAGAGGAAGAGACAGATCTTTAGACAGTTTCAATATTTTAAAAGTGGACCAAAAAAAAAAAAATAGCTCTTCTTACAAAGTAAATCAAAAGGGTATAAACAAACCACCACCAACAACAACAACAATAAATCCAGGAGCTTGTGTGTATGAAAGCCAAAGGATTTGGTGAGCTTGACCAATAAGGGAAATGCTGTAAACAAGTTAGACGAGTAATAACAGCTGCTGATCAAAGTTATCAAAAAGGAGGTTAGATGACTTGGATAAAACCCTAAGATCAAGAATAGTAACAAAAGGGATGACCAGACAATATTTAGGCAACAACAACAAAAGTACTGTAGAATTTCACTGACCAGTTCATCATACAGAGTTAAAAAATAAAACAGGATAAACAATCGAAAGAATAACACCTCAGAGATTTGAATCTGAAAGAATGAGAAGACGATAAAAATAGGCACTTTTATCTTCTCTTTAGAAATAGTATTAAGTATGTTTTATACTTTATGATTATTGAAAGACATTCGTAAATTTACTTCAACATACTTTAGAACTGCAGATTTCAGACACAATCTGTAAACTGCTGTACCAGCATTTCAATATATTTCTTTTTCACATTATCCTTTCTCAATACTATGTTTTTGGCAATTCTTTTCATTTTCACTATCTGATCACAAACTTATATTTCCCACTCAACTACTGAGGAAAATCTAATAAAAATTGAATATGTAGTAAGAAAAAGTTAGGCCTCACTTTCAACCTCATTGAGATAGATTTTTTTTCTTAGCTTCCATGAATTACATCAGTGAATCAACCTGGTTTAAGTTCCATGTAACTTCAGGTAGTAATGAGACTGTGGTTTTAGGTGACGGCTCCGAGAGTAAAAATGACTGTGGACTTCTGCAGCAAGGGTGGATTCATAAATTGCTGAGGTAATGTGATCATGGCATATAATTCAGTGCAACATATTCTTTTCAAATGTCTCATAATTAACATTTCTTGTAGAAAATTTAAAAGGACATATTGGCCTACCATCACAATTTTATCATTGGAAACATTTTCTCTGAATTAAAGATTCATGGTATACTTTAAGTCATATCTCCTAGAGCTTACATATAATGTAGAAAACTCTGCCATGAACCATTTGCTGATAGCAATCTCTTTTCTATAATGTTATCATAGAAAATCCCTCACTTGTGGTATATTTCAGCATCTGTTATTAATTTATCATTAGGTTATATTCTCATTTTAGCCATCACATGCGATGACATTAATTAGCCTCCACTAAACAGGGCTTCACAACCTGTACAGTTTGACTCAGGATCTTGCTGTTTTATTAGCAATTCTGACCTTGCCTTCCCAATGGACCTGTTCAATTAAAGGGAATAACCTTATCTTTTCATATACAGTACCCTTATGGTATCTTTTCTTTTCTTTTTTTTTTTAAAGATTTATTTATTTATTTGAAAGACAGAGTTACACAGAGAGAGGAGAGGCAGAGAGAGAGAACGAGGTCCTCCATCAAAGGTTCCCCAGATGGCCGCAATGGCCGGAGTTGTGCCGATCCGAAGGCAGGATCCAGGAGCTTCTTCCGGGTCTCCCGCATGGGTGCAGAGGCCCAAAGACTTGGGCCATCTTCCACTGCTATCCCAGGCCATAGCAGAGAGCTGGATTGGAAGTGGAGCAGCCGGGTCTCAAACCAGTGCCCTTATGGGATACCGGCGCTTCAGGCCAGGGCATTAACCCGCTGAACCACAGCACCGACCCCCTGGTATCTTTTCTTAGCTGAACCTTGTATATGCTCAAGAGACAAGTATGCATGATGCCACGGAAGAACCGTTATGATGTAATAGGTATGTGGCTTTGGAGATATTTCATTTAAGTTTATGAGGCAGGAGCAAAACTGTAAAGTATACTTGAGCACATAAATATTAGATATTGTTTCTATAAAAGAAAAACCCAACACGATATTTTTTCCCCTTTATTTCAGACATGAGGAAGTGGAGACCCTAGGAAAACCATTGACTTGAAATTATTCAGTTCTGTTCTTGCCCAATTTGCAGCAGTAACAAAAGAACATGAAAAGCATTTTCTAGTCCTGACACAAGGACAGGTACCTATGATATCTGCATCCTAAATGAAATAGAACTGACAGTGAAAAAGCATCTCTGTTTTCCACTCCCACTCTGAGTGGTACATTGTAATATATTCTCCCCAGCTCTTAGGAAATGTATTTTCTTTTTAATACAAGGAAAAATGTGACTGGACAGGTAATGAATCTCAGGGGGAAAAATCATGGCATTAGCATTCTCTTAAAAGTCACTGAGGATATTATGAGAAAAAGATTTTTATTTTTGTGAACAGAGTGTATCTAATATTCATCGAGAACTTAGAAATACAGCCCTGGTGCCTGATGAGATAAATGTATTTATAAATGACTCTTACATGCACTGAACACAATTAAAATACCACCAAGTCCATCTACATTCTCCAAAAAAAGTCCCGCTTTTTAGAATCCAACACATTAACTTCTCTGAAAAAGATAACTGGACAGATTTTAGACAAACTCAATGCCTAGGTAATGAATAATTACTCACACCATATATTTATCGGGAATTAGATCCAAACACATTGTACCTAACCCACCAGCTGCCAAGAGTGACTGACATATTTGGTAATTATAATACAATTTTGAAGGGAATACATTACCAGTTTGACATCTGGAAACAGGAAATCTAAATACTTAATGCAAGTCTCTAGTGAAGATGTGTCTCAATTCGCATTTGTATCATGCCTTCTTCATGCCATTTTTAAAGTCACTTTCCATTTTTAAAAGCAGCCTTGCTGAATCTGCTGTCACTGCAGTTGGTTTCCCGTGGGGTCATAAATGATGCTAATACAGCTGGCCTAATGTGTAGCAGATCCCATGGTCAAGGGCTGAAATAATAAATAATAATGTACCCAGGAGAATTTTTAAAATAAAAAAATATTTGATTAGGTCATTTTTCTAATTCCTATTTGTTAAGGGAGCTTTGATGTACTTCTTTCTTTCTTTATGTGAAAACCTAGTTACAGAGAATGGGAGACAGAAAGAGACAGAGATCTTCCATCTGTTCATTCACTCCCCAAATGGCCATAAGGGCTGAACTGGGCCAAGCAGCAGCCAGGAGGCAGGAACTCCATCGGGGTCTCCCATACAGTGGCAGGAGCCCAGGTACATACCCCATCTGTTGCTGCTTCCCCAGGTGCATTAACAGGAAGCTGGATTGGAAATGGAGCATCCAGGACTTGAACTGGTGCTCTGATTTGAGAAACCAATGTAGCAAATGGTTGCTTAGCCCACCGCACCATAACATCATTTATCAGCCTCTGATATACTTCTTTTAAAAAAACAAAAAAGGATTTATTTATTTATTTATTTATTTATTTATTTGAAAGACTTAGAAAGAGAGGGAAAGAGAGAGAGAGATATCTTCCATCCACTAGTTCACTCCCCACATGGCCTCAACAGCAGGGGCTGGACTGATCTGAAGCCAGGAGTCAGCTTCTTTGAGGTCTCACATGCCCAACTTAGAACATAAAGTGAACAGAAACAATATAAATTGCAGAACTCTGGTCCACTGGGGCCATATATCTAAAGGAATTTGATATTATTTCTATTTTGTGTCTGCATCTTATTGCAATTTAATGCATAAGGAACACAGACACAATCAGCCATTTATTCTAATGAGCATTTTTATGACGCTCCTAATTTTTAACGAGACTAATTTCTAATGTTCCTGTCTCTGCATTTTAAGATGCCAAATTGGATATTGTTAAGATTAGAGAAAGAAATGGCAATGTTGAGTTTTTATGATAGACACCTGTCCCAGAATTTCTTTGTACAAACTTTTGTTAGTTAGTGTATTTTATTAAAATCCCAAAAATTATTCCCTAGGGAACGTTTGGTTTTTCAAACTCTAACTAGAGAACAACTTAAAACCAAAGTTTTAGTTCAAGTACATTTTCTATTTTATTTTATTAAAAAGTAATGTAAGGTTCTTTGTTGTCAGGGAACTGCAGAGAACAATAGCAGAGACGTGCAGAATCATGATTAGCAGCAAATGTTTAAGATGGCATCAACAGAGAAAGTTTCATTCCCTAGAATGCTAAATGAGTATACCAGTGTGAATGTTTGAAAAACTCGTTTACCTCAATAAAGCCTGTTGGGGCTGAAATTCCAAACAGTTTGCTGAATTAGGAAAAGATTATTAAATTGCTGTTTGCGTCATGGAACATCATAGCTTCTCAAGGTCCTTTTACACTTTTCTAAGTGCATACAGGGACTAGGACCAACAAATCTGGACTAGCAGCAAGCAGGAAGTAAGATTTCAGCATGGTAGCGGAGAGATTATTGGGAAAGGACGAATTGGAAGCCTGGAAGGAAAAGGTAAGAAACACCCTTTGAGGACACAAGCTAAGGGCTTTGGAGTAATAAAAATGTTTACTAGGATGCATAATTAAAAAAAACCGTTTTCTGTTCTCTTTACACATTCTTCAGTCAGTAGTACATTCCTCTCTAGCACTGCTCTGCTACACTTATGGAGGCCTTAGGGAAATATCTCAGAGGTCTTAGTTGCATCTGGTTAGCCACAGAAACAAACAGAAACAGCACATGGACCCCTCAAGCAATGATTAGAGAGGGCTGTCATCTGGGTCACATAAGGAGGTCCAACATAGCAATGCAGGAGAGCAAGATGAGGCTGCAAGAATATTCGTCACAGCTATTGTTTCTCTCTTCTTCCACTTTGTTGTTTTTCATTAAGCCATTTTCCTGATCATTTGCAGTCACCAAACTAGGTCTATATGCTTCATAATCAAGAACTCAAATGCACTATGTCTGTGTATAAAATCTCCTATTCCATTCTTTGTTCTAGAATAAAGTTTTCTAAAATATAGTCACAGAAAGTGAGTCTCTGAAATGCAAATAGCTCTGAGATAGTGAAATATATTTAAACATTACGGTGAAGTGGTTTCTTCATGGCATGACTTTTCAGATCATCTGTGTTAAAATGAGCCATGAGCATCATAGAGGAGGCCATAGTGTATTTTCCTAAACTTGATCTCAGTATCCTTTTCTCCCTTACGATCTCTTGGAACTGATGTTGAAAGGAATCATTTTTGAGAAGCATTGCTAAAAGGAAAAATAATGCTACCTTTCTGTATATTATAATGCTTGAACAAAAGTACATCTAGCGCTCATATCTTTCAGGACAATAAAAGCTAATACTTGTTCTTTTTTTAAAATATTTATTTATTTATTTGAAAGAGTTACACAAAGAGAGGAGAGGCAGAGAGAGAGAGAGAGAGAAAGTCTACCACCCACTGGTTCACTCCCCAAAAGAGCTGATCTCTTGAAGCGGAGAAGCTGGGTCTCAAACCGGTGCCCATATGGGATGCCGGTGCTTCAGGCCAGGGTATTAACCCACTGCGCCACAGTGCTGGCCCCAGTTAGTTCTTCTCGTTACACATGTGGGTATATGACACTTATATTTCTTTTTTGCTGTTGTTGTTGTTGGACTTTTTCCTTTAATAAGATAATATGATAAATAAAACCTGCTTCTGTATAGCTATTTAATATTTTGGAAATACATACATGTTACATGCCAAGAAAGGACCCTGTTTTTTTTGTAAGAAACAAGGTGACATTGTAATAAAATCACAAATGCACAACTAACTATAGTTCTGTACCTACACTGTTAGCCATGTTTAACATGATTCTGGAGTAGCAGGAACCAATAGAACGCACAAATCCCCTCTGCCCCAAAAACTGAATGAAAACACAGTCAGCTTTTTTTAAACCAGTGACCACATAGTAAAAACTGTACATCATTGTCCATTCATGAAAAAGCAAAGTCACTAGGGTGGTATAAAAGTGATAACCGGTGCATTGAAATTTCTGATGATGAATGCTTTTGCTCAAAGTTTGCAAAATTATCTCCACTCTCTCTGCACAACCAGGAACGCAATGCAGAAGACAACGAGGAGGTAGGGCTGCAGCCAGGGATGGCGCCAGCACTGTCAGCACTCTTCCCAGTGTGGTCAATGGCATTGTACTCAAACTCCTAAGGACACTTATATTTCATGCCACTTGACCAAGACAACAAGAGGGTTCTTTGGCTTATGTAGATCAGTAGTTTTCAAGTTTCTTTGTGAGGTTTGAGATGTCTTAGCCTTGAATATAAAAGCCTAAAGCAGGACTCAAATGCAACAGAGCAAAACTAGAAACACTCAGAATTGGATCCAAAATCTTGGTTGATGCTGGAGTTCTCTACTATATAATTTTATTTATTTTAATTTTTTAATCGATTTTATTTCAACAGATAGAGACAGTGAAAGAGAGAGACAGAGAGAAAGGTCTTCCCTCCGTTGGTTCACTCCCCAAATGGCCGCTATGGCCAGAGCTACGCCGATTCGAAGCCAGGAGCCAGGTTCTTCTTCCTGGTCTCCCATGCGGGTGCAGGGGCCCAAGCACTTGGGCCATCCTCCACTGCCTTCCCGGGCCACAGCAGAGAATTGGACCAGAAGAGGAGCAACCGAGACTAGAACCCGGCGCCCATATGGGATGCCAGTGCCACAGGCGGAGAATTAACTAAGTGAGCCACGGCGCCAGCCCCTTAATTTTTAATCATCATGTAATTGCTGTGATTTTTATGGAGTACAGACACACAGACACAGCATAATCTGATCATATCAGACAATTAACCTTTCAATTTTCTTGTCTTGTCTTTGTCTGTGGAGCCTACCAGATTCTCTATTATAATTCTTTATAAAGAATGTAACACATTATTGTGGATTTCAGTTACCCCACTTTGCTGCAGAACACCAGACCCATTATCTTCATACAGCTGCTTTTGGTATTCATTATATAATCTCTCTCCATCCATGTTCCTACAACCTTCCCAGTCACACTATGCTAAATTCACATTGACTATCTACATTTAACTTCCACATAAGAGAGAAAGCATGCAGCATTCCTCTTTTTGTGTTTGGCTTATTTCGTTTAATGCGTGGAACTTAAGATCATTATATTAAGTGAAATACCACCATTCTAATTTCAAATTGTTATGACCTGATGATTCCCAAGACACCTGAAAGTTCCTTATATTAGAAGGCGGAGTTATAGCAAAGACCCATCAGCATGGGGTTGAAATTGAGGAAGTCAAATAGACTTGTGGGAACGGTTTTCTTAGTACATACCTATCACCATCTATAAGGACATGAGAATATTTGGTTTTAGCTACTATTATCTTATGAAGCGTAGCAAAACCCCATCCCACATACCCACCAACTTATTGGTTTGCTAGGAAACAGGAAGGTTCAACAGGAGCTGCCAATACATAGTCTTTTTTTGAGTTTTATACAGATGCATGGTTAACATTCATTTTACATGTACACACACACACACACACTCTGGCTGTTCTATAAAATCAGAATCAAAATGCAGTGAGCGTGGCTAAAAGCTAATTGCAGATCTCTTGCGTCTGTGCATATTAGCTTTGCTTGCTAATATCTGAGGGTGTATCCTGTGAAACTATGTGGACCCAAATTCCCAGGAACTAGGTTGGCCGAAATGTGTCCCTCACTGTTATCTTACCACCATATCTTGGATCTGTTACTGGGTTTGTTATTGTTAACTGTTATCTTGCAACCATATTCTGGTTTTCCTCTTTATTGTTCACTGCATACCAGGGGTCTGGTTTGAAATTGTGAGCCCTAGTGGATAGAATATTATAAAAAGTTAGGTAACCTGCTGTTGGGGGCCGCACACTGGTGAGGAGTGTTGGTCCTGATCGGTGGCCGGTCCCGATTGGTTACCTTGCCTCTCATTTGTCTTTCATTTGCTTCTCATTTTCAATAAAATTCATGCGTGACTGTCACTGGTTTTTGTAACATTTTATTTTAGTTGACGAGTTCTTCCCCATCCTGTTGATATAGGAGCCACTGCAAAGCATTAAAGATGAATCATTATATGATTACTATATTATTATGGGAGGGAAGAACAAAGCCTTTTAAAGAAGTTAAGAGTCTGCCTGAATTTGAACTTTGTGTTGGTTTCTAATATTGTGATCTGGACAACTTTCCTTCATCATAGTTTGTTCATCCATAAAAAGAGATTTGCTGTAAATAATAAAGAGATGAGGAATGTTTTCTAGAACATGTTACTCCAAAAGCCTACACTGAGAAAAACATTCAAATGTCAGTCATTTATTTTGAAAGTTATTCCATAAAACAGCAAGGGAGTAGGAGACTGAACCAGCGAAGGGAAAGACAAAATTTAAGAGCATGTTGTCAGGGAAGTTATTGCTTTGGTTAACTGAAATTCAATCCCAATTGGGCTGTGGGAGACCATAATAAATACAGCCAAGTAATTCTGACTGAAGGCAAGGATGCAGAACATTATTGACCCATTCTTTATATTATTGGCTAAAGGTTACATTATGGGAATTAAATCTTAAGAACTTATGCCTGTACCAAATGTGTGCCTACGACTGGGACCTTGTAGCCAGAAGGGAAACCCTCAAGTTCAGAGAGTCAGAGATGTTCTCTGAAAGCAGACTTTGGTTGGAAGAGGAGAATGCTGATTTAGATTCTCTGCAACACATAAAATGTGCAGAACTGTGCCTTGAAAATATTGAGCCCATTAATATCTAAATCTTATGGTTATTTTCCATTTTAAATGTGAATGAATTATATTATTTAAAAATTAATGTGCTGGTCTTTGACTCCAAACATGATACAAGTTTCTCAGAAATTCTTGACACTTATTTCTGACTGCAGATGCCTCTCTACTTACAATTGTGACACACTCATATATACTCATCAGCAACTGAAAATAAATAGTTATATACCTAACCTACTTTGCATCATAGCTTAGCAACATAGTGCACTGTAGAGTACCAGTGGTTCACCATTAGGATCATGTGACAAACTAGGAGCTGATGCTCAGTGCTGCTTGCCTAGCATCTTGAGAGAGTATAGTACTGCATATAGCTAGCCCATGAGAAAAGAAGAATCCAAAGTTCAAAGTAAGGCTTCTATGGGATAGGTTTTACCGTTTTACCTTCATAAAACATAAAAGTATTAAGTAGAGTCACTAGGAGTTGAGTGCCTATACTTGCATGTGCTGCAAATGTAACTGGGGTTGCAAGGCTTCTGTGTTATTTAATCAACAGCTTGTCAAAAGTGGGCTTTTACATAGATTCATCAGTAAAGAAAGAAGCCACATTTATAATCCAGAAAATTTTCTTCCTGCTACAAAAAGCCAGAGAAAAAATTATGAAAGAAGCCCTCTTTAAGAACTCAGAATATGGAATGCTGGCACTGCAGGCAGCAGCTTTACCTGCTATGACACAGTGCCAGGCCCTGAATTGATTTTTTTTAAGATAACATATTTTTCCTTTTAGAAGGTCGCCATAAATACTATTAAATAAACATTGCTTTATGTTTGAAGTTACTATTAAATGGTTGGTTGGGAATAATTTTTATTAATGAAATAAAACAGCTTGGGAACTGTACATATATGATTCTGATTTTAAGAAGTGGTACTCAATCAAGCAGGAATAGGAGAAGAACGTCTGCCCTTGCTGCATTTAATAAATACTGTACTAGAGGTTCTAATTAAGGCAATTAGATAAAAAAAAAATACTTAAATGAAAATCATCCAGATGGAAAAGGAAGAAGTGAAACTACTTCTACTTACAAATTATTTGAACTTGTATGTGGAAAGACTAATACATATACATACACTATTAGAGATAATAAATATTCTAAGGTTGCAGGATAAATTACCAATATACAAAACTCAATACATTTAGCAAAAGAAATGTAAAACTAGCACACCAAAGACAACAAAACATCATTGAAAAATAGAGAAAAACTAAGAAAAACTCATTTTCATGGATTGGAAAACTGTTACTATTTATTACTTTAACATGGCAATACTCCACAAATTGATCTACTACCTCTTTAAAAATCATAGCTGTGGGGACTGGCACTGTGGCATAAGTTAAGCCTCTGCCTGCTGTGCTGGCATCCCAATTGGGTGCTGGTTCAAGTCCTGGCTGTTCCTCTTCTGATCCAACTCCCTACTGATATGCCTGGGAAAAACAGCAGAAGATGGCCCAAGTATTTGGGCCCCTACACTCATGTGGGAGACTCAGAAGAAGATCCTGGCTCTTGGCTTATGCCTATCCTAGCCCTGGCCATTGTGGCCATTTGGGGAATAAACCAATGGATGGAAAAATCTCCCTCTCTTTTTCTCTCTCCCCTTCTCTCTCTTTATCTCTGCTTTTCAAATAAAAAATAAATTTTAAAATCATAGATCTGTTATTTCTACAAATTGACCAGCTTATCTCAAAAATCATATGGAAATGCAAAGGACCAAGAATAGACAAAACAATCTTGAAAAGATGAACAAAGTGAGAGGACTCATGTTTCCTGACATCAAAACTATTACAGTAATGAAGAGTATTCTACTTAGCTTACGGTAGACAGATAGAGCACCAGCATAAAATTGGGAGTCAAGAAAGAAACCAAAGCATTTATGGTGAATTTATTTTCAGCAACAGTGTCAAGACAATTCATTGAGGAAAGAATTGTCTTTTCAATATATATGCTTCTTAATTACATGCAAAACAAGGAAGTCACCATGAAGCCCTCAAATGAAAAAGACACCCCAATTCGAGATTATGAGGATGATGACATAGAAGAAATGCAAGAAGCAGATCTCAAAAAATTGATAAGAACATTAAGAAGTTCTCAAAAACAAATTCTTGAACTACAGAAATCCTTAATGGACAAGATAGAAAATCTCTCTCGTGAAAATGAAATATTAAGGAGGAATCAAAATGAAACGAAACAACTAGTACAACAGGAAACTGGGATAGTGACTGAAGTGAAGAATTCAATAGATCAAATGAAAAACACAATAGAGAGCCTTACAAACAGAATGGGTGAAGCAGAAGAGAGAATATCGGACTTAGAAGACAGAGAACAGGAAAGGATACAGTCAGACAAAAGAAAAGAATAGGAAATTAGAAATCTAAAACATATTGTTGGGAATCTTCAGGATACTATTAAAAAACCCAACATTCGGGTTCTAGGAGTTCCTGAAGGCATGGAGAGGGAGAAAGGATTAGAAGGCCTTTTTAGTGAGATATTAGCAGAAAATTTCCCAGGTTTGGAGAAGGACAGAGAAATCCTAGTACAGGAAGCTCACAGAACCCCTAATAAACACGACCAAAAGAGATCCTCACCACGACACGTTGTAATTAAACTCTCCACAGTGAAACATAAAGAAAAGAGCCTAAAATGTGCAAGAGAGAAACGTCAGATTACTCTCAGAGGATCTCCAATCAGACTCACAGCTGACTTCTCATCAGAAACCCTACAAGCTAGGAGGGAATGGCGAGATATAGCCCAGGTACTAAGAGAGAACAACTGCCAGCCCAGAATATTATATCCTGCAAAGCTATCATTTGTGAATGAAGGTGAAATAAAGACTTTTCATAGCAAACAGAAAAAATAAACAAAATTGACACCCCATTGGCCCAACTAACTAAAAAAAGAAGAGAAAAGACCCAAATCAATAAAATCAGAGATGAAAAAGGAAACGTAACAGCAGACACCACAGAAATAAAAAGAATCATCAGAAATTAATACAAGGACTTGTATGCCAGCAAACAGGGAAACCTATCAGAAATGGATAGATTCCTGGACACATGCAAACTACCTAAATTGAACCAGGAAGACATCGAAAACCTAAACAGACCCATAACTGACACAGAAATTGAAACAGTAATAAAGGCCCTCCCAACAAAGAAAAGCCCAGGACCAGATGGATTCACTGCTGAATTCTACCAGACATTTAAAGAAGAACTAACTCCAATTCTCCTCAAACTATTCAGAACAATCGAAGAAGAGGGAATCCTCCCAAATTCTTTCTATGAAGCCAGCATCACCTTAATTCCTAAGCCGGAAAAAGATGCAGCACTAAAAGAGAATTACAGACCAATATCCCTAATGAACATAGATGCAAAAATCCTCAATAAAATTCTCACCAATAGAATGCAACAACACATCAGAAAGATCATCCACCCAGACCAATTGGGATTTATCCCTGGTATGCAGGGATGGTTTAACGTGCGCAAGACAATCAATGTGATACACCACGTTAACAGACTGCAGAAGAAAAACCATATGATTATCTCAATAGATGCCGAGAAAGCATTTGATAAAATACAACACCCGTTCATGATGAAAACTCTAAGCAAACTGGGTTTGGAAGGAACATTCCTCAATACAATCAAAGCAATCTATGAAAAACCCACAGCCAACATCCTATTGAATGGGGAAAAGTTGGAAGCATTTCCACTGAGATCTGGTACCAGACAGGGATGTCCACTCTCACCACTGCTATTCAATATAGTTCTGGAGGTTCTAGCCAGAGCTATTAGGCAAGAAAAAGAAATTAAAGGGATACAAATTGGGAAGGAAGAACTCAAACTATCCCTCTTTGCAGATGACATGATTCTTTATTTAGGGGACCCAAAGAACTCTACTAAGAGACTATTGGAACTCATAGAAGAGTTTGGCAAAGTAGCAGGGTATAAAATCAATGCACAAAAATCAACAGCCTTTGTATACACAGACAATGCCATGGCTGAGGAAGAACTTCTAAGATCAATCCCATTCACAATAGCTACAAAAACAATCAAATACCTTGGAATAAACTTAACCAAGGACGTTAAAGATCTCTACGATGAAAATTACAAAACCTTAAAGAAAGAAATAGAAGAGGATACCAAGAAATGGAAAAATCTTCCATGCTCATGGATTGGAAGAATCAATATCATCAAAATGTCCATTCTCCCAAAAGCAATTTATAAATTCAATGCAATACCAATCAAGATACCAAAGACCTTCTTCTCAGATCTGGAAAAATTGGTGCTGAAATTTATATGGAGGCACAAGAGACCTCGAATAGCTAAAGCAATCTTGTACAACAAAAACAAAGCCGGAGGCATCACAATACCATATTTCAGGACATACTACAGGGCAGTTGTAATCAAAACAGCATGGTACTGGTACAGAAACAGATGGATAGACCAATGGAACAGAATTGAAACACCAGAAATCAACCCAAACATCTACAGCCAACTTATATTTGATCAAGGATCTAAAACTAATTCCTGGAGCAAGGACAGTCTATTCAATAAATGGTGCTGGGAAAATTGGATTTCCACGTGCAGAATCATGAAGCAAGACCCCTACCTTACGCCTTACACAAAAATCCACTCAACATGGATTAAAGACCTAAATCTACGACCTGACACCATCAAGTTACTAGAGAACATTGGAGAAACCCTTCAAGATATTGGCACAGGCAAAGAGTTTCTGGAAAAGACCCGGGAGGCACAGGAAGTCAAAGCCAAAATTAACTATTGGGATTGCATCTAATTGAGAAGTTTCTGTACTGCAAAAGAAACAGTCAGGAGAGTGAAGAGACAACCAACAGAATGGGAAAAAATATTTGCAAACTATGCAACAGATAAAGGGTTAATAACCAGAATCTACAAAGAGATCAAGAAACTCCACAAAAACAAAACAAACAACCCACTTAAGAGATGGGCCAAGGACCTCAATAGACATTTTTCAAAAGAGGAAATCCAAATGGCCAACAGGCACATGAAAAAATGTTCAAGGTCATTAGCAATCAGGGAAATGCAAATCAAAACCACAATGAGGTTTCACCTCACCCCAGTTAGAATGGCTCACATGCAGAAATCTACCAACAACAGATGCTGGAGAGGATGTGGGGAAAAAGGGACACTAACCCACTGTTGGTGGGAATGCAAACTGG